AATATTTCCAGGCGGCGGCACGGAATAATATTAAAAAGGCGAACGTTCGCCGTCAGATGGGGCGGCAGTCTGTCCGTCTGTTAATTCCGACTCGGGAAAAACGGGCCTAATTCATTTATTAAACAGCTGAACGAGCATAATTGGACAGCGATTCTAGGAAAATCAAAATGGCTCCGACGAGAAACAAAAGCAAAGAGGTTCGCCTTAAAAAAATGACAATTAATTCCTGAAACAAAACACTTGGCTCCGGCTTGCTTCAACTGCGTTCGTTCGCTGTAAGTTGCCCGCGATTTGCCCGTGACTAGAACGGCAGAATTATATGAATTTATAAAGATTCCAGGTTTTGGCATTACTAATAAATAATAAATTTGTATAAATATAAATAGAAAGAAAATACTAATCAGGACATATATTACAATATTTACAGTCGTAAATTTAGGTGTAATGGAGGAATTAAATGTTGAAAACAGGTCTGTAAAACATTACCATTAAAGAAATGTTTTATGGACACTAAATGTTTACTGCTGAGCAGTAGCCCCAAACCATTGTAAAGTGATTGGATACGGTTCATCAGCCATCATCATCATTTTCAGCTTATTCAACCATTTCCAATTATGGTGTAGCCTTCCTCACATACTCTCTTTGTAATTGGGACCATTGTTGTCTATATTGTTCGCCATGCGGGCCCATGATATCCCTGCTAATTTCCTAATATCATGGTCCCATCTCAGGTTCGGTCTTCCTCTAGGTCTCTACTTGCTGAGGGATTTCGCTCTGTGGATGACATCTATTACCTGGGTCTTTTGTCGTATCCACTCTATTATTTTATGATCTCTCTTGGTTAATCCCAGCATATTTCAACAAAATTTTATGAGGACATAAAAGCATCTTCAGAGAAGAAACTTTTGTTTTTGTGTATTCTGGTTGCTAAAAGTACATTTGTTTTGTTTGTTGCTGATATGCATGAAGAAAACATATAATTTTTCTTGTTTTAACAACATCCAATAATCCATTGTTGTTCTATACATGGCTTTAAAGGGTCTATACATAAACATCTAATGATTGTAGTCAATCCCAAGTAGCATTTGGATGTTATCTAACACCGGATATACGTCGCGTTCAATAAACCCTAGGCGACGTCGGGTACCAACGTCGCGCGTCGCGTCGACCGCCTGACGACCCTTATTTGCACCTAAATGGGGAATACAAATTCGGGTCGCCTCGACGTCGCGTGGGTATCTGACCTAATAGGGGATGATGTAATTCTACGAATTACCAACGTCATATTACGTTGGATTTCAGTTACTTAAAATTCGTCGCTAAGCACTTACGTTACGTTTGGTTTCAAATTCGCTACTAACAAACTACCTAATTACAAATGGATTCATAATCACTTCTCGAATATAAGTGCCTACCTAATTTCATATTATAATAATTCTGAATCATTAATCCAGACATCAGTTTTATCAATGGAAGTCACTTTTTTGATATATCTGTTTGAAATACTCCGGAAAACAACGAGCGCCTTCAAAATTAGGTAGATTTTTGAAATAAAAATATCTATAAAAGAGTAACTCGCAAAATATATTTTTTTTTATTTTCTAGATGGTTTAATCATAAAACTCTACTGTGGTTCACCCCAAACTCAACCTTATAAATACTATTCTACTAGAAATCGGAATGTGAATATAAATTTTCAAAACAAAAAACGATTTTAAAATGGCTGACAATCGGATACTTGTTAAGAATGGCGGATTTCTGTGTCCGACTTAATATGAACTATCCATATACCAATCCCGACTGGGTCTCCAATATTAGTCGTCTCATACGACCGAAGTCATCAAACCGGACGACCGGCAATCGTATTATGACGTATATAATTCCAACGTACGCCACGTAAAATTTGCGATCGGTCGGCATACGTAGGAGCATCTGTCGTCGGCCACAGAGCATATAATTTTTCTTATTCCTGGTAAACGATTCCCGACGTTGTCTGTTATTGGTCTATGATAGGTCAATTGTTTGTTGTCAAAAAATGTTTGACGGTTGACGGTTCAACGGTTTCGTACGCGTAACCTCACTTTGCGTATCAGTGATTTGTGAATTTGTGCAATTATATTTTAGTTTTTGTTTTCTCCTTAAACAAATGGGCAGCCACTTTTTTTAAGATAGATAAAATAGATATATACAAAATCTAAAAGAATTGGAACAAGTACCTCACATGTGGGAGGAAGCTGGTTTCTTAAGCTAAAAAAAGAAATTAAGATGCACCAGTATAATGCAGCATCTCTTCCGGATAAAAAGAACTGGTTAAAATACAACTGTACTGCAAAAGTTACCGGCATATCTATAGGGCATCATGCTAACAATACTGCAGATGTCTAAATGCCTTTTTAGTGTTTTTTTAGGCATAATAAAAAAATTAAGTTTGTTTACAAAAACTTTTTATTAGGTTATGTTCATGATATCTATTAGGCCCCAAAATGCTACATAATGGGTTGTATTTACGGACGTAAATAGAGATACGTAAATTAGGTTATAAATATGAACATAAAATACAACAAAATATAATTGGACGTTACTTTAGGGATTATCAGTGAGACGTATCCCATTTGGACAACGGGTAGACGTCGGGCTAGTTCAAGTATATGTACGTCGTGTATGCCAACGAGGGAACGACGTTGGAAAATTAATAAAAATAGTACGTAATGGGAAATTAATAAAAAAAAGTTGTTATTTTGTCGGTCGACATCGTTGGATTTACCGACTCGGATCCAACGACGTCGCTTTTAATAGGAAAGCGACGTCACTGGTCGTATCACCAGCACACGACCTATATTTGCACAAAGTCTGACGTCGCTTCAGGTCAGATTTAGTTCGAAGTCAGATAGATGCTACTTGGGATGCCTCTCCACTGCGGAGAAGATGCGTGTATCATTTTTCCTATCTAACATAACAAATTGAACTGATATGCGTTTTATGGTTATCCTGCTCTGAACCATCTATATCAGGCATAGATATTGCAGTTAGCTTTACTAAATTTATGAAATGCTTCATGGCATCTAAAAAACATCCGTTATCCAACCACTAGGATATGCAATTTCTTGCTAACCGTATGTTCTTTTAGCATATTTTTTTAAATGTACTCTGCAAAAAGTAAATACTATCCATTATTTACTTTTTAAAAAAATTGTTAAAATTACCTTTTTCAGCTAAGGTCGATTGCCGCTTTAAACCTATTGTGGTACAAAAACATCAGTTTATGACCAGCCGGTTCGGAATAAATTGTACCTCATATGAGGCTTAAATTTATGTTATCCAGAATTTGCCCAAGTTGTTAGAGAAATTGCTAACATTTGTTTGATTGAATATAATTGCTCTAGAAGTATTTATTTAAATGCTCTAGAAGTATCTAAAAGATTTCTTAAACTTATGTATGTATTTCCTGTTATAAAAACAAGAAACTATAATCCTTAACGCCATCTTTTGATTTCAAATTTCGGTAAAAATAGCTTTCGGAAAAATAAAACATTAAGTATTACGACCCATTTTGTTAACCATGTTAGTATAATCAGCATATCATTAATATAGCGGGTGCGTCTCAAAAGTGGCTCACTCCTATAACTTTTTATTTTTTCAGATAAAAATACGAGATTTGGTTTGTTAGTATATGACATAAATTAGGATTGATTGACGTATTCAACTTTTTTAAGGAAAGAAAATGACACTTTCAATAGAATGACATATGATATGCCAACTTTTAACATTTTCGCTTAAAAAAACGCATTTTAAACTTCAACCTAGAGTGAAAAAACCTATGAAATTTTTAATCATCTAATGTTTTTTATATCTTATCTTAGCCGGTTAAAAGAGGCCCAAATCATATTTCAATTTTTTCAAATTGTACAATGGTGTCTCATTAGCATATTTGGACAACGCATATTTTTACGAATAATTTGGTACCACACACTTGGTATTTCGAGTCAAATTGTCGTTATGAACCACATTTTACAATTTCAAATATACTATATGCGAAAATATCAAAAGTTAACATATGATATATCATTCTATTCAGAGTGTCATTTTTTATCGAGTAAAGTAGAAATATACCAACGGTGCCATTTAAAAATCAAAAGTTGTAGTAATTTTCGATGAAACAGGAAGTGACCAAAAACTATTGAATACGTCATTCAATCCTAATTAATGTCATAAACTAACATACCAAATCTCGTTTTTTATCTTAACAAAATAAAAAAGTAATAGGAGTGAGCCACTTGAGAGACGCACCCGGTATAACTTAAAATGATATTACCGATAACTTAGTCTTGACTATTCATAATGATTAAAACTGAGTTTTAATCATTAAATAAAAGTGGTTTGATGTATTGTAGTGAACTGGACTTGTATTATTTTGCTGTTGTAACGCCAAAGGTTCCAAACCCAACTGTATTCTTTAGGATTATCATAATTTTTCATTAATTCCCCTCTGAATTAGACTTATATAAGGATAACATTTCACAATTCTGAAGGATTAAAATTAAAACGAAGATAAAATATTTGCATTGTTGACACGGTGACTCGGAATTAGACGTTTTGAGTATTAAATACCAATAATTATATCTAAAATTACACTGTGAATACATTGAGGTATAGAAGTAAAGCTATCAAAATTTAGATACAGTTTTTTTATAAATCTTTTACTAGCTTATGTCCTTTTAATAAAGTATTTTATACGGAACAAATAGGTTTGTACTTATAAAAAGACTGGGCAACTTTAGCCGAACGAACCTCGAAACCGCTTACCTGCACCCCAAAAAAATTAACAGAAAGATATTCAATTTAGCCCGAATCAGTTTAATCCAATGGGAAATAGCAGGGGTGGAGCCACTGCCGGCAATCTGGCCAATGATTGGATCGGCGTTAACTACGTTGTCGATGCCATGGCAACGGTTCGTTCGGCCGCCAGTGCACGGCGGTCGTTCGTGCAAGTTGGTCCTGCCCGGTCCTTTCGAGCCGCATCCTGATTTTTTCCCATTCGTTACAGACCGCAGGTGAATTATAACGCTCGAAATCATGTTGTTTCTCTGATTCTTAACGCGTTATAACAAGTTTTTTTAAATATGTCTGATCGGGAATTAATGGAGGAAGACCACGAAATAAACATTTTGGACACGGATTCGCGGTTATCACGGAGTGATAGTGATGCCAGGAGTCGCTGTAGCAGTCCGGACAATGAGACCTCCTCACATACCTCCACCAAAAGCGCTCTACCGTTCAGTATTTCGAATTTGTTGGGGAAGGACTTTGATCACAAGCCTGAAACTGACACGGCAACATTGTACCAAACTCCAGCGGGGTTCTTTCAGCAGAGGGGTGCGTTCAGTGGACTGGTACCGTCCGGGTTTTACCCTCAGGGGGTGTTGCGAGTGCCCGCTCACAGGCCGCTGGGGGGTCCGGGAAGTCCCCCAGCTACCACGGCGGTTTTTAATCCGTGGACTCTGAGTTTGGATCCCGTTTTGCAGAGGTCGGCGGCAGCGGCGGCTTTTGCGTCGCAAGTTGTCAAGGACAGATTGGCAGGTAGGTTTAAATCTTTAGAAATATTAAAATCCACACATTATTGTCTTTATAACTGCCTATTGTAATTATAGAGATATATCAAACAACCTGCGCACCATAATCTCATTTGCTCCATTTATTAGCTTTAACTTTTAACTTTTTGGAACATATTTAGATTTTTTCAATTTTTACGGTATACTACTATACAAAATAATAATTATCTTAAAATAAATCAAAGTATGATCATATTTTATTAAATAATATGGAAAAATTAAGAAATACAAATGTATTAGCCCAAGTTCCTCTATTTTTATTTGGTAATACAGTAGGTACTTAATTATTGTATTATATCATAAAGTGGGACTCCCATCGGAAGCTTTTGCTGCTACGGCAAAATGTTTATGTAACTCATAGCCAAAATGATAAAATACTTAATCTATAATTATATTTTAATACCTTTATCGTTTTGCAGGCCTAAGTAACTTAATAAGTTTTTGATTTCTTATAGTACCTAATATAGCAGATAGAAAACTACAATGCGCAGTTGACCAACACAAACCACTATTAGTACCGATAATGCACAACAATAAAAGACACAAATATATATGATATAATAAAAAACGAAATTTATATCGCAATTAATAAACAACATTCAGTCACAACTGTCACAGCAATTAACTTAACTGCCAGTAAACACATGCGAGAATAAAAAAGTATCTGCAGTATGCAACATGAGACCTCTATGCTTGTTTACCATAAATTTTAGGTAGATCTTTTCACTTTTATTTGTTTGTAATTATTACTTAATTTGAAGATTGGATTTAACAATATTTTTTTAATAATTTGGAAATCAGTGTTTATTAAAATTCGATGTGGTTTGGTTTTTTTTTATATTAATACCTATTGGTAATTAGTACCTATTGGCCTGATACGACAAGGCATATGGAGATAAATTCACAAAATTATATTATACTAATTATTACTGTATTACTAATAGTATTTTTTTTTTAATTTTTAATCCACTTTATCTTCATTTGATTCCTGTTCAAAGTTTTTATTCTGCTCTGGTCGATACCTTTAGCAAATATAAACTGCTTGAATCTAAGCTGCTTGATATTTATTTGAGTCTATTACATTGTTTTAAGTAAATAATAGTATATTTTTGCCTTATTATTAACTATTATAAAAAATATTATCGATATTATAAATATTATATATTTATTACAATTTCAGTTCAGCAAGAACATGACTTTGAAAGATTTATTATTTTCAATAATTTATACTATTTGACTAATGAAACAAACCATAACTAATCATATTATCATATATTTGTAACATTTACTTAAGTTCCAGATGGTAATTAATTAAGTTATAATTAGCAGGATATTATAATATAACCATAAAGTAATAAATGAGTATCATAAATTCTTATATTGTGACAACAAGAGCAAAATTTTATTAAATCCATCGCATACAGTCCTGATACTTTACAGTACTATTTCCATTTCTCTGTACAACTGATCACACTTCAAAGAAGTTGACATGCTCTGCATCATAATGATCTAAACGGAGTTGTTTTACTCATAGCCACCGTTTAGGAAATATTAAAATATTTTTAGCAGGTAACGGCTCCAAACCAGTTTTAAGAGTCCAAAAATATGCGCAACCTTAAATAATCATTGGTAGTGTTGAACCGTTAATTATTAACAATGCGTCTGTTCCTTTTCTTTTCGTAGTTTGTTTTAGAATTTGATCTGAATCAGTAATTTTCTTACTTATTCAAATTACTAACTATACTATCTTTAGATAGTATATTATGAAAAAGGTTTTATGTTTTGTTGTTTGATTTTTAACTACTAACTTTGTAAATATACCAATCTAATTTGTAATTACCGTTAGGTAATTACAAAACTGTGGTATACCGATGCTTCCAAAAACAATGCAATAGCAGGGATAGGAATATTTGTGTGTATAGAAGGAAATGAAAAGGCAAACAATCTAGCTAGAAAAGGAGCGAACACTCCACTAACTGGATCAGAACTGTTTTGGTTTCTAAATGGAATGGTCAACTTAAACTGGAACTCAAGAACCTGGAAGACTCTACCCATAACCTGGAATTATCCAACTGTCTAAGACACTCGAAAAAATTTTTCAGAATTTACGACCGAGAAAAATCAAAGATTTTCCTTGATTTAAGTAAGTGCAATCATCGGAAGGTCACGGGGTTTCTAATAGGACATTGTCTTCTCAACGAGCATCTGGTAGATTGAAGCTGAGAAACAAGGGCGAATGTAGATTCTGTGGGGAAAATGGGGAAACACCAAAACACCTCATCACTGCGTGCGCCGCCGCCGAGGCGACAACCGTTCGTGCCAACTTTGGTACTGCTGATGTCGGAGATGGAAAGGTATGTGGAGCCGTCTCAGATACTGATTTTTGTCAAAGCCCTGCGACTGTGTGATGAGTTATAACTCTTTATAACTGAAGAAAGGGGAGGACACAATAGATCTCTTCTAAGGTCGCGATTAACTCCTCTCCTAAACATTCTACATTCTACAATAATAAAATTAATAAACTGTTAATGATGTTGACATTGTTAACGAAACGCGTATCCAGTATTTAAAGTTAAGAGTTTTGGTGGATCGGTGGTGAACTAATGTTTTATTAGTTTATACCAAAGGAAAATATTTACCTATTTTATAGATTTTAATTATCTCCATAGAAATTTTGTTATTTTTTATTATTTGCTAAGAAAGATAAAAAACAAATTCGACGTTTTTGTCACTCTGGCAACTGATTAACCTTTTTTGATTTTAGATTTTATTAATATAAAATTTTACTAATTACTGGCTAGTTGTTCTGGTCACTATATTTTACAAGGCTATTCATTTAAAGTGTTACCAATCAATATACCGATTTGGTCATTTTCGAAGTGTGGTATAGATTTTAACGTGTAAGACAGAGAATAGAGAGTAATATAAATGACCGGTTGACAGACAGAGAGACAAAATCAAAAGCGGCATACAGTGTTACCGGTTTTTACGTTTGTAGGAAAATTTGTGTAAAAAAATATAAACTAGTTTAAAAACTTTCATGTATACTACTGAAATGAAGATAATATCTAAGCTAAACATAATCTATTACATCCGTAGTAAAATGCGTAACTAATTGTGAAAAATACGGTTCCAACCCTTGATGCAACATTTTCCATAAACGCCTACTTGTGTGGTTTGGACTTTTGATGCCAAATCCGGCAATACCGCATAGAAGAAATGCATTAACTCAACTTTTATCTCTTTTTAATACATTTGAGTTTCCATTAAGCTGCCTACATCACTGTCTTACACGTTAAAATCCAGACCACGCTGTAACGTTTTTAGTTCGTTACATGTCTTTTTTATATATAATATATGATGTCTGGCCTATCATCACCGGATTCCATCTCGTTCAGGCCGGATAGTTTATTTGACGCGTAATTTTTACGTTCCCTAGTCGCCAACCCTGTTATCGTTCGACACAACCCTGTTATCGCTCTGAGGAGGCGCTGTCAACATCGCTTCTGTCAACTCTCTCCGTGCTTAACCTCACTTTGTTTTGACGCTCTGTTGTATCCCAGCTTTTAGAAATGGTGATTATTTAAATCTTGCTGTATAATCTGAATCAGCTGCTATTTCGAGGCTACAGGTAAAGATAGTTATTACCTTTTATAGATTCGATATTATTATTGAATATTTTTAGGGTAGAGTTACGGATGTCCCAACTTGTATTTGTATTTTGCTGGCACGTTGGCGTCCCTTTTCTTTTGTCCTCCAGAATGTCACATGGAAGAAAGGACAGGTTGTTTATTATTTATTGAGCCCTCGGAAGTATTTCGAGGTAGGTTTATTTTGTTTATTAGACCTTGTTTGGTTTTAAACAAGAGTTTCATATTTTTAGGCTCCAAGGTACGGACTGTGTCCAAGGTACGAACTGTGTCCAAGGTACGGACTGTGTCCAAGGTACAGACTGTGTCCAAGGTACGGGTAGTGTCTTATGTACAGACATTATCTTATGTACAGATGTCCTGTGGACGAGTGTCCCCAGTAAGAATGATTTTTTTCTTACATATAAGTGCCACAGCGTGGATGTAGCTTGAGTCCCATGCTGCTTCACTCCCATTTTTAAGCCTAGTCAGTAGCTACGGCTGTAGTGATTCACGGTGTCCTCAATCTGGCCCCTTTTGTTGTTTTGGCCAACAGGATGGCCGACAGACAGTACAGAGACAAAACTCAAAACATCGCTGCTACTGTTTGAAGCAAGGTTACATAAAGAACAGCTAAGTGTATATTTAAGTTCTAGTTTTACATTTAACATCTAAAATATTTTCAGTCTTAAACAGTAACGTACATTTTAAATAATATCGTACAGACTATATTTAGTGGTTAGATTATTAAGAACATTTATGTCGATGCAGTAGTTACAATGTGATTTAGATTTTAGGTTTCATTATATTACGCCTTGTAATAGTATTACTTTCTATAGATATTATTATTGCGCTATATTAACAGATGAATAACGAGACATAGATTCTAGAATCTACAGGTTGCAACACATCAGATTTAACACCGCATAAAATTTAACAATTTAAATAAAGTAATGCTACTTTTCTTATATTTTCTATAACGTTACACGCATTGTATTTTTTCATAGTCTTTTCATAGAACATATTTAATATTATTTACATACATAGTTTTACTCAACAAATAACCACTATAATAATTATTAAAATTGTACAATGCTATTTACCATCAGAATTCATCATGAATAAATACACATAGTCATTAGTTTTAAGTATTATACAACTGTGTTTTCTTTCTCTGTACACGCCTGGCGCCCAATATCTATATATCTTTTGTTAATTATTACTGATTAATTTTCTCTCTAGTGAAATACCTTATCCACGACTGCTCTCCGATGAAAAGCTGCCGTTCGCAGTGGTAGTGGTTTAAAAAAAAACGCTACAACGCTTCTAAAATGACCAA